CATGTTACAAACGGCATATACACCACAATAACGTTTATAACACATATACAGACACACAGTGCATTTACATTACAGTCCATGGTACACACGTGTAGGGCACAGTAAAGGTTATCAGAATAATGACTTCACAGTGCGATGGTTCCGAATGTTCATTTCGGGTGTGCTGGCGTCCCGTGTCCACTGGGAGGCGTCAGAACGCCGTTGGTGGATCCCCAGTCTGCCTGGGAGAGATTAGCCAGACCCGGTTTGATCTTTGATCTCGCCAGAGAGGGAGGCAAGGATGTTTATTCCTGAAGTTAATAATTTGTCCCGGTTTGAAGGTTGGTATCTTTGTGACTGATTGTAGTTCTCCATTCGACCCTCTTTATTCCTGTTTGCAATCCTCGTCCTTGGGGCTTTTCCTTAGTGCACATTCTTCAGAGGGCCTGTTCTTAAAATCATTAGTAGACAACATTTTAATTCTACAACACATCCTAAAATGTATTATTAATGTTTATCGTTACATCCAGGTTTACCGCGGTCGCATATTGTCGCATTAAAACAGTGTTTTTTCATGAAAACGTGAACAGAAAATTCTGAAAACCTCTGTGCACGTGTATTAAGAATGTATATGTATAATGTATTCTCCGATTAACATTTAATGTGTTTATTGTTACACCATGGATCTATGTGTGGCTACACTGCAGTGGAAATAATGAGATTACATTCAAATCAATGGAGCTTTCTGCGTCTACTGTGAGGAGCCGTATATTTTATTAATAAATACTAGTACGGGGCACCCTCGAGCACGGCTCAGTCGTTCACATGTCTGCTGGCCTTCGGTAAGTCAGATACTCTGTGAACCGGGTGAGGTCCTGTGTGAGACCAAATATATAACAGCTATGCTACAAGCTAAGCTACAGTCTATGGAGCAACCCCACGTTGCAGTCAGACAGATATGTTTTATCCTTAAACTTCTGTTTGTTTCGGAATAACACTAAATCCGCCATCAAATTGATTTCACTTAGCAGAAATGAAATGATCCGAGCATATTCGGGCGCTCTGGGGGCTATTAGTTTTTTGTTGTTGCGTATGGTTGTGCCATTTCTCTCTCGTTTCTTTGAGATGTCTTCTGTTTTTGAGCCGTGTGAAGTAAGGACGGCTGGCAGTCGGTAACACAACTTATTTTCCCCGTCTCTCCTTTCGCTGCAGCCAAAAACGGCAAAAATGTTGAACATGTTTATGCGGTCCCGGGTGCACGCCACTATCATACAGCGTTTGCTTGTCCTCCAGTATGGCGGATGCCCCGCGAGTTCGAGGCATCGTGACGTCACGTGAGATATCTATTGGATTACATGTTGTGAACGTGATCTTTCTCTTGTTTCCAGCCCATAGATTGTTTTAGTAGTTAAAAAAAATTCACAATTTTCAGACATTTTGAAGTTACGGTAAAGATTTTTTCATTTAACAAAAAAGCAATGAATTTTTTTCTTGTGGTTTTAGATGTGAACACAACCGACTGACTAGAGCTGCATGTAGCTTATGCTACTTACGAGGATAAATAACATTTGTGATCAGAGCATTCAGAGTGGGGACATTATTAAGAACAAACTGAGCTGGCAGTAGAGAGGTGTGCGGTATAGAGAGGTGTGCGGTATAGAGAGGTGTGCGGTATAGAGAGGTGTGCGGTAGAGAGAGGTGTGCGGTAGAGAGAGGTGTGCGGTATAGAGAGGTGTGCGGTATAGAGAGGTGTGCGGTAGAGAGAGGTGTGCGGTAGAGAGAGGTGTGCGGTAGAGAGAGGTGTGCAGTATAGAGAGGTGTGCGGTAGAGAGAGGTGTGCGGTATAGAGAGGTGTGCGGTATAGAGAGGTGTGCAGTATAGAGAGGTGTGCGGTATAGAGAGGTGTGCGGTATAGAGAGGTGTGCGGTATAGAGAGGTGTGCGGTGTAGAGAGGTGTGCGGTAGAGAGAGGTGTGCGGTAGAGAGAGGTGTGCGGTATAGAGAGGTGTGCGGTAGAGAGGTGTGCGGTATAGAGAGGTGTGCGGTAGAGAGAGGTGTGCGGTAGAGAGGTGTGCGGTAGAGAGAGGTGTGCAGTAGAGAGAGGTGTGCAGTAGAGAGAGGTGTGCAGTAGAGAGAGGTGTGCAGTATAGAGAGGTGTGCAGTATAGAGAGGTGTGCGGTAGAGAGAGGTGTGCGGTATAGAGAGGTGTGCGGTATAGAGAGGTGTGCGGTATAGAGGTGTGCGGTAAGGTGTGTGCGGTATAGAGAGGTGTGCAGTATAGAGAGGTGTGCGGTATAGAGAGGTGTGCAGTATAGAGAGGTGTGCAGTATAGAGGTGTGCGGTAGAGAGAGAGAGGGTGTGCAGTAGAGAGAGGTGTGCGGTAAGAGAGGTGTGCGTATAGAGAGGTGTGCAGTATAGAGAGGTGTGCAGTATAGAGAGGTGTGCGGTAGAGAGAGGTGTGCAGTATAGAGAGGTGTGCGGTATAGAGAGGTGTGCAGTATAGAGAGGTGTGCGTATAGAGAGGTGTGCGTATAGAGAGGTGTGCAGTATAGAGAGGTGTGCGGTATAGAGAGGTGTGCGGTATAGAGAGGTGTGTGCGGTATAGAGAGGTGTGCAGTATAGAGAGGTGTGCAGTATAGAGAGGTGTGCGGTAGAGAGAGGTGTGCAGTATAGAGAGGTGTGCAGTATAGAGAGGTGTGCAGTATAGAGAGGTGTGCGGTATAGAGGTGTGCAGTATAGAGAGGTGTGCAGTAGAGAGAGGTGTGCAGTATAGAGAGGTGTGCGGTATAGAGAGGTGTGCAGTAGAGAGAGGTGTGCGGTATAGAGGTGTGCGGTATAGAGGTGTGCGGCATAGAGAGGTGTGCGGTAGAGAGAGGTGTGCGGTAGAGAGAGGTGTGCGGTAGAGAGAGGTGTGCAGTATAGAGAGGTGTGCAGTATAGAGAGGTGTGCAGTATAGAGAGGTGTGCGGTATAGAGGTGTGCGGCATAGAGAGGTGTGCGGTATAGAGAGGTGTGCGGTATAGAGAGGTGTGCGGTAGAGAGAGGTGTCCATACAGTACTGTCTCTGAATGTCATCATCACTGAGGTCACTCCTGATGACGTGCCTCAGGTATTTGGCCTTCTCTACATTCAGAGGCTCCACAGACAAATATGTCCAAAGTGCAGCTTTGGGTAAGTTTATAAAGCTCGTGTGTAAGCATTCGATCCTCGTAAGTAGCATAAGCTACATGTAGCTCTATCGTCAGTCGGTTGTGTTTACATCTAAAACCTCAAGAAAAAAATGCATCGCTTTTTTGTTAAATGAAAAATCTTTACCTTACCTTCTAAATGTCTGAAATTGTTTTAATCGCTACAAAAATCACCAATCGATGGGCTGGAAAAAACGAGAGACAGATCACAGTCGCAACAGGTAATCTAATAGAGCATGATTTCATGCCCACTTTGAGAATACTACCCACAATGCCGTGCGGTCGAGCCGGAAGCTCGGAAAGCATGTATGGGGCTCGTGCAGCTGACGCATACGCAGGTGTTTTTTATTTTACATACTGTATTAACGGACGTAGTCACGTCTATATCCGTCGTTCTAACTAATGGGCCAAAAATTAGGCTTTCATGGAGTGATTCAAAATGGCCGCAGGGACTGGAAAATGTGAAAAATGCCTCTGAGCATGAGTCAGCTGCACGAGCCCCATTCATTTAAACGAGTGACTTCTAAAGTCCACAGCGACTAAACTAGACTGGTCCAGAACACTCAGCATTGACACACATGTGGAACGGAGCTTTGGGCCAAGAGCAACTTTTGGTCCATCCTGTAAAGACGTTTTCCAGAGGTCTGCTAATGCTATATGTTAGCATTGGCCAATTCTTATTTTGTCCACCCCCACAGGCCCGGGGTGGTACTGCAGCATGTCAGCGCACGTCATTTTGGCCACTTTTGAGCCGGGACCCAACCCCACTGTTTTTTTCCCGCCACATTTTCCAGCCCCCTCGGCCATTTTGAATCACTCCATGAAAGCCCAATTTTTGGCCCATTAGTTAGAACGGCGGAGAGACGTAGTCATGCCTATTAATATTTACAGTCTATGCCCAAGACTCACACTTGCTCTAATGAATGCTTTTATACTTTTGCCCCCACTGGTCCTGTATGCCCTACTGTGTACTGACAGATTAAGGATCTTAGCCTGAGCTCAATGAAGCCCAATAAAGGAAGTGCTCATGGTGAAGTTTGGCCCCCGTTGACCAGCTCAGTATTGGAATATAAATAAAAACACATCAGTTTGGACAAAACTGAAAACGGCCACTGCTCTACCAACTGAGCTACTGGGGCGACAGTAGCACAGTTGGTAGAGCAGTGGCCTTTGAGCCTGGAGGTCGTGAGTTCGATTCCCACCATGGGACCTACTCCAACTGCTCCCACTGATGTCTACTGTCGTTGTGTCCTTGGGCAAGACACTTAACCCCACGTTGCCTGAAGCCCCCGCTGAAAGACCAAGGCTGTTTCACCGCTGACAGAGCAGCCATCTTCCTGTGGACTCACCCCCTGCAGAGGATCAGAGGGACTGGTGCTATGAGCATTGGGTGGCAGCTCTCATTGCCACCCCCCCGACCCAGAAATGGACAATACTGGGACTTGAAAATGAATGAACAGTTTGGACAAACACTTTATTTCCAAAGAAACATTGATCAAGTTTGTTGCTTCAACGTTAAAAGTTGCTGGTTTTGTCGCAGCTTCAGTGAAGTCCATTTGGTGCAGATTTAAAAATCAGAAAGTCAAAATAAAAAGTGTTAAAACTACAGAGACTACAGAGAATTATAAGTGTTAAAACACAGATCAGAGGACCAACCATGTGCAGAACCTCACACCTGGTGCTACCTCCACAAGCTAACAGAATCAAAAACAGGTGCTACCTCCACAAGCTAACATTAGAATCATAAAAAAAACATTAAAACGATTGAATCCTTTAGATTAAAAAAAGGATTTCAGGAAGAACTTCAGCGGCAACATCGCACACTTCGGGACACCTCAGAAATGTGCCTCCACCTGCGGCCCCTCGCCCTGCTCACGTGCCTCCACCTGCGGCCCCTCGCCCTGCTCACGTGGCCCCACCTGCGGCCCCTCGCCCTGCTCACGTGGCCCCACCTGCGGCCCCTCGCCCTGCTCACGTGGCCCCACCTGCGGCCCCTCGCCCTGCTCACGTGGCCCCACCTGCGGCCCATCGCCCTGCTCACGTGGCCCCACCTGCGGCCCATTGCCCTGCTCACGTGGCCCCACCTGCGGCCCCTCGCCCTGCTCACGTGGCCCCACCTGCGGCCCCTCGCCCTGCTCACGTGGCCCCACCTGCGGCCCCTCGCCCTGCTCACGTGGCCCCACCTGCGGCCCCTCGCCCTGCTCACGTGGCCCCACCTGCGGCCCATCGCCCTGCTCACGTGGCTCCACCTGCGGCTCATCGCCCTGCTCACGTGGCCCCACCTGCGGCCCCTCGCCCTGCTCACCTAGCCTCTCGATCTCGTCCCATTGCACCTTCCCCTTCTCCACATAGCTGGAGCACTTGGGGCAGGTTTTGTGCCTGGAGAGCCACCTACGCAGACACTCGAAGTGGAAGTAGTGCAAACAGGGCGTGAGGGAACAGTCCGGGCTGAACGGCAGCAGACAGACGCTGCACACGTCATCAATGAGCTGGAGCTGCGCCTCTGTCAGTGTCACGTGCCACGTCACTCTGCTTACCATACTCCTCTTCAACCTCCGGTATTTCTCCATCTCCGACCGGTAATCGTTCATCTGCAGGTCAGAGGTCAGAGTGAGCACACTGAAAAAAGTAAACAACCAAAGACACACAAAAGGATGGGAGACAGACCAGGTGTCTTCCCCCCCTCCCCCCTCACCCGAAGGAAGATGTGGCTGCATATGTGCAGAGACATCAGGAGGAGGTGACTGAAACGCCTGGAGTCAAACATGAAGCCGTAGGCGTTTATAGCCGCCATCAACGCGCCAAACACCATCATCATCAGGTGCTGCAGCGAGAGGGCCCTGGACACCTCACAGTCCCTCTGGTCAGTGTTCTGGATGCTTCTCACGACCACGGAGCCGCAGAGGCCCAGCAGCACCTGCACGGACAGACATGTGACTTTATCGGCCTGTGGGGGAAACTGGAGCACCTGGAGGAAACATTGAAAGAACCTTCTGAAGGCTTAAAATAAGACAGAGGATAGCAGATAGCAGGTACTTTTTAAAAAAATTGCATATTGTGATAAAGTTCATTATTTTCTGTAATGTACTGATAAATGTTAGACTTTCATATATTTTAGATTCATTAGACACAACTCAAGTAGATCAAGCCTTTATGGTTTTAATATTGATGAATTTGGCAAAAAAAAAATCCCCATCTCAGAAAAAGAGCACATGATGAAAAGGTCTAATCGAGCCATTAACCTAATCATCTGAACTCTAAACACTTGAAAACTCCCGGCCTGGTTCATTGCTCAAAACTGCAATCATGGGTAAGACCACCGGACTGCTGTCCAGAAGGCCATCATTGACACCCTCAAGCACGAGGGTAAGACACAGAAAGACATTTCTGAGCCAATAGGCTGTTCAACCCCAGGAGGTGACCGGACCCTGAGGAGGATGGTGGAGAAGGGCCGATTCCAGACCTTGGGGGACTCTGAAGCAGTGGACTGAGTCTGGAGCAGAAACATCCACAGCCATCATGCACAGGCGTGTGCACTAAATGGGCTACAGAAACAGCGGCAGAAGCACCGACCTGAGAAGCAGCATTGGACTGTTGCTCAATGGTCCAAAGTACTTTTTTCGGATGAAATCAAGGTGCCAGACTGGGGAGAAGGAAATGCCAAAACGCCTGAAGTCCAGTGTCAAGTACCCCCAGTCAGTGATGGTCTGGGGTGTCATGTCAGCTGCTGGTCCACTGTGTTTTATCAAGGGCAGGGTCAATACAGCTGCTATCAGGAGATTTTGGAGCACTTCATTCTTCCATCTGCTTAAATCTTTATGGAGATTAATTCCTTTTTCAGCACGACCTGGCACTTGCTCACAGTGCCAAAACCACTGCTAAATGGTTTACTGACCGTGGGATTACTGTACTCTGCCAACTCTCCTGACCTGAACCCCAGAGAATCTGAGATATTGTGACGAGGAAGTTGAAAGTCACTAGAGCCAACACTGGATGAACTTAAGGCCACCATCCTGGGGCTCCATAACACCTCGGCAGCGCCACAGGCCGACTGCCTCCATAACACCTCGGCAGTGCCACAGGCAGACTGCCTCCAATAACACCTCGGCAGTGCCACAGGCCGACTGCCTCCAATAACACCTCGGCAGCGCCACAGGCCGACTGCCTCCAATAACACCTCGGCAGCGCCACAGGCCGACTGCCTCCATAACACCTCGGCAGCGCCACAGGCCGACTGCCTCCATAACACCTCAGTGCCAAGAGTCCAAGAGTATCTACTTTTAGAGTGGCGGGTGGTTTTGACCCAGGTTAGTCTAACGGTTAAAGAAGGCCGACTGCCTCCATAACACCTCGGCAGCGCCACAGGCTGACTGCCTCCAAAACACCTCAGTGCCAAGAGTCCAAGAGTATCTACTTTTAGAGTGGCGGGTGGTTTTGACCCCAGGTTAGTCTAACGGTTAAAGAAGGCCGACTGCCTCCATAACACCTCGGCAGCGCCACAGGCTGACTGCCTCCATAACACCTCGGCAGTGCCACAGGCCGACTGCCTCCAATAACACCTCAGTGCCACAGGCTGACTGCCTCCATAACACCTCGGCAGTGCCACAGGCTGACTGCCTCCATAACACCTCGGCAGTGCCACAGGCCGACTGCCTCCATAACACCTCGGCAGCGCCACAGGCCGACTGCCTCCAATAACACCTCGGCAGCGCCACAGGCCGACTGCCTCCAATAACACCTCGGCAGCGCCACAGGCCGACTGCCTCCAATAACACCTCGGCAGCGCCACAGGCCGACTGCCTCCAATAACACCTCGGCAGCGCCACAGGCCGACTGCCTCCATAACACCTCGGCAGCGCCACAGGCCGACTGCCTCCATAACACCTCGGCAGCGCCACAGGCCGACTGCCTCCATAACACCTCGGCAGCGCCACAGGCCGACTGCCTCCATAACACCTCGGCAGCGCCACAGGCCGACTGCCTCCAATAACACCTCGGCAGCGCCACAGGCCGACTGCCTCCAATAACACCTCGGCAGCGCCACAGGCCGACTGCCTCCAATAACACCTCGGCAGCGCCACAGGCCGACTGCCTCCAATAACACCTCGGCAGCGCCACAGGCCGACTGCCTCCATAACACCTCGGCAGCGCCACAGGCCGACTGCCTCCATAACACCTCGGCAGCGCCACAGGCCGACTGCCTCCAATAACACCTCGGCAGCGCCACAGGCCGACTGCCTCCATAACACCTCGGCAGCGCCACAGGCTGACTGCCTCCAATAACACCTCGGCAGCGCCACAGGCCGACTGCCTCCAATAACACCTCGGCAGCGCCACAGGCCGACTGCCTCCATAACGCCTCGGCAGCGCCACAGGCCGACTGCCTCCATAACACAGGCCGACTGCCTCCATAACACCTCGGCAGCGCCACAGGCCGACTGCCTCCAAAACACCTCAGTGCCAAGAGTCCAAGAGTATCTACTTTTAGAGTGGCGGGTGGTTTTGACCCCAGGTTAGTCTAACGGTTAAGGCCGACTGCCTCCATAACACCTCGGCAGCGCCACAGGCCGACTGCCTCCATAACACCTCGGCAGCGCCACAGGCTGACTGCCTCCATAACACCTCGGCAGTACCACAGGCTGACTGCCTCCATAACACCTCGGCAGTGCCACAGGCCGACTGCCTCCATAACACCTCGGCAGCGCCACAGGCCGACTGCCTCCATAACACCTCGGCAGTGCCACAGGCCGACTGCCTCCATAACACCTCGGCAGTGCCACAGGCTGACTGCCTCCATAACACCTCGGCAGTGCCACAGGCCGACTGCCTCCATAACACCTCGGCAGCGCCACAGGCCGACTGCCTCCATAACACCTCGGCAGTGCCACAGGCCGACTGCCTCCAGGCCACGCCGTATTCAAGCATTCATTTCTACTAAAGGATTCCCGATCAAGTATTGAGCACATAACTGAACATTATTTGAAGGTTGACATTTAAATTAAAAACACTTTATTGGTTGGATGAAATATGCTAATTTTGGTGTTTTGGGCTATTGTTCAATAAATATCTACAAAATTTTAACCTTTATCTGACTGACAGTTTATCTCAAATAAGATAAGCTTTATTAATCTCACACAGGAGAAATTTACATGTCACATTTGGCATGGATAAAACACTCAAGAATTGTGCAAAAAATAAGAAATGAGCAAACATGTTAATGCAGGAAAATATAAAATTGCATGAACTGCAGTTTGTTTAATTGAAAATAGCTTCTATATAGCAAGCTACTTTTGACAGAATTTTGTAACTTAGCTTGCTACATTTGTATGGGTGGTAGCTTCTGTGTAGTGAAGCTGAATTTATTGTAGAGTAGCTTAGCTCACTACACAAATCAAGTAGCTTGCCCATCACTTACTTTATCTCAATATGCTAATTTTTTTAGAAGGACCTGTATTTACCCTCATGTTTTTGAGCCGAGCTGATTCATCCCTCAGACTTTTCAGACCAGTGTAGGTCTGAGTCCAAGAGTATCTACTTTTAGAGTGGCGGGTGGTTTTGACCCCAGGTTAGTCTAACGGTTAAAGAAGCTAGTTCAGCTGCAATGCCACATATCACTACAGTTTAGAGTAATATTGTGGTAACATTACTTTGAAACAACAGTAACACATCATGGGCGTAATAATCCAACACTGATGAAAACCATCAGCTCCACACATGGTTACACCAAATCTAACGTCTTCAGTCTACAGAAGACTGAGCGCCGCAGGCGGGAGATGTTCAGAACATGTGTAGCTAGCCGGAGCCAGTCTTACCTGCAAAAAGAGGTGGATAGTGGAGGTGGTGGCCGCGGACAGCCAGATGCTCCAGTCGTGGTGCTGCCAGATCACCAGCACCAGAGGGATGGGAAAGAACAGCGTCAAAACAAACAAGACAAACAAAGGGATGAAGGGCTGCGGTGGTCTGTGCCACGCAGTGCGCAAGGGCTGCACCAACTGGTGGAGGTTGGTCAGGGCCAGGACCATCAGCAGGTACAGGTTCTGGAGGAGGATCTCCTGCAGACACAGAACAGTCACCGTCAGGCCCAGGCTCAGGCCCTGGCTCAGGCTCAGGCTCAGGCTCAGGCTCAGGCTCAGGCTCAGGCTCAGGCTAAGGCCCAGGCCCAGGCTCAGGCTCAGGCTCAGGCTAAGGCCCAGGCCCAGGCTCAGGCTCAGGCTCAGGCTAAGGCCCAGGCTCAGGCCCAGGCCCAGGCTCAGGCCCAGGCCCAGGCCCAGGCTCAGGCTCAGGCTCAGGCCCAGGTTCAAATTTTTGACCCTCAACATTTTCCTTTTCTCGTTCAGCCTCATGGAACACATGTTGCAGCAGGGGCAGAGCACAGAGCGATGCGGCTGGACAGTGCACTCACCAGTCTCTGCGTGGGGTCCGTGCAGCTGACGCCCCACAGCGTCGCCACGATCCAGAAGCATTTCAGATTAAAGACATATTTTAGGCACGGATCTGGAACCAGACAATTGGAACCATCAACCAAGTCAGCCACACCAGAGCCCCAACACCATCACCAAGTGTACCATCTGTACGTTCTAGCGCATGTTTACATCTGTGCACGCGAGACTGAGGCACATTCTAGACAAATAAAAATGAAGCACATTACCGACAAACAAGTTTGAGAAAACATGGACCATCAATGCCACGACTGTGAAGACTGCAACCATCGCCAACTCCATCAGAAAAGACTCACAGCTGGAGACCAGGAGCTCGGCCAAGACGTCACCGAGCCCAGACCAGCTCCACCCCCCCACCTGAGGAGACAAGAGGCTGAGGACCTTAACCCCTCCCACCTGAGGCCCTCTCCTGCAGCGCCCCCTACCTGTAGGCTGTAGAGATGGATCGGAGCTTTGACCAAAATCCGGAGAATAAAGTAACGTCTCACGGCCGTCAGGTCTAGTTCAACATCGAACCTGAACAGAGGAGACAGGCCTTAGAGGAAAAGGAGGAGACCAGACCTAGCGGAGGAAGAGGAGGAGACCAGACCTAGCGGAGGAAAAGGAGGAAGAGGAGGAGACCAGACCTAGCGGAGGAAAAGGAGGAAGAGGAGAAGACCAGACCTAGAGGAGGAAGAGGAGACCAGACCTAGAGGAGGAAGAGGAGACCAGACCTAGCGGAGGAAGAGGAGGAGACCAGACCTAGCGGAGGAAGAGGAGGAGACCAGACCTAGCGGAGGAAGAGGAAGAAGAGACCAGACCTAGCGGAGGAAGAGGAAGAAGAGACCAGACCTAGAGGAGGAAGAGGAGGAGACCAGACCTAGAGGAGGAGACCAGACCTAGCGGAGGAAGAGGAGAAGACCAGACCTAGCGGAGGAAGAGGAGAAGACCAGACCTAGAGGAGGAAGAGGAGACCAGACCTAGAGGAGGAAGAGGAGACCAGACCTAGCGGAGGAAGAGGAGGAGACCAGACCTAGAGGAGGAAGAGGAGACCAGACCTAGCGGAGGAAGAGGAGACCAGACCTAGAGGAGGAAGAGGAGGAGACCAGACCTAGCGGAGGAAGAGGAGACCAGACCTAGAGGAGGAAGAGGAGGAGACCAGACCTAGCGGAGGAAGAGGAGGAGACCAGACCTAGCGGAGGAAGAGGAGGAGACCAGACCTAGCGGAGGAAGAGGAGGAGACCAGACCTAGAGGAGGAAGAGGAGACCAGACCTAGAGGAGGAAGAGGAGACCAGACCTAGCGGAGGAAGAGGAGATGACCAGACCTAGCGGAGGAAGAGGAGATGACCAGACCTAGAGGAGGAAGAGGAGGAGACCAGACCTAGAGGAGGAAGAGGAGGAGACCAGACCTAGAGGAGGAAGAGGAGGAGACCAGACCTAGCGGAGGAAGAGGAAGAAGAGACCAGACCTAGAGGAGGAAGAGGAGGAGACCAGACCTAGCGGATGAAGAGGAAGAAGAGACCAGACCTAGAGGAGGAGGAAGAGGAGGAGACCAGACCTAGCGGAGGAAGAGGAGGAGACCAGACCTAGCGGAGGAAGAGGAGGAGACCAGACCTAGAGGAGGAAGAGGAGGAGACCAGACCTAGCGGAGGAAAAGGAGGAAGAGGAGGAGACCAGACCTAGCGGAGGAAGAGGAGGAGACCAGACCTTGAGTGGAGGAAGAGGAGATCAGGCCTTAAGTGGAGGAAGAGGAGGAGATCAGGCCTTGAGTGGAGGAAGAGGAGATCAGGCCTTAAGTGGAGGAAGAGGAGATCAGGCCTCAGGAGAATTAAAACATGTATAAATCCTTGTCTCACCATTTAGTTTGGCACACCATGAATTTTATCTGGTTCCACATGATCAGGACCAGGAGGAGGACCAGCAGGAGGAGGACCAGCTGAGGGAGAAGAGGAACCCCCAGGAACCGGAGGAACACAGGAAGCACCATCCCCAGCTGAACCCAGGAGGCCCACGCCTCCACCACAACCAGGTGACAGAAGGTGAGGCCCAGGAGGAGCTGCAGCATGCCCAGGCGCACCCACACCCAGCCCAGGCCCGAGACCTGGTGGAAGACCAAGCTTTGGAGCAGGTCCCAGCAGCCTTGGAGGAGGTCCCAGCAGCCTTGGAGGAGGTCCCAGAGGCCTTGGAGGAGGTCCCAGAGGCCTTGGAGGAGGTCCCAGAGGCCTTGGAGGAGGTCCCAGCAGCCTTGGAGGAGGTCCCAGTCAGGGAGGAGATCCCAGAAGCCAGGGAGGAGATCCCAGCAGCCAGGGAGGAGGTCCCAGCAGCCAGGGAGGAGGTCCCAGCAGCCAGGGAGGAGGTCCCAGCCAGGGAGGAGGTCCCAGCCAGGGAGGAGGTCCCAGCCAGGGAGGAGGTCCCAGCCAGGGAGGAGGTCCCAGCCAGAGACCATGTAGTAATTCAGGATCACGGAGACCAAGGCTGTGGCCAAACCCCCGGCCAGCAGGAGGAGCTCCACTACTGCCACCGCAGAGAACATGTGGCAGAAGCTTAAAACTACCACTGTGAAGGAGACCACAATTAGGACCAGGGCTTAGGGGGGGAGGAGGAGACTAGGGTTTTTAGAGGAAGAGGAGGAGGACTAGGTTTAGGGGAGGAGAGGGGAGAGAGAGGGTTTAGAGAAGAGGAGGAGGAGGGGGAGGAGGAGACTAGGGTTTAGAGAAGAGGAGGAGGAGGGGGAGGGGAGGAGGGGGGTTTAGAGAAGGGGGAGGGGGGGGGGGGGGGGGGGGGGGGGGGGGGGGGGGGGGGGAGAGACCAGGGTTTAGAGAGGGAGGTGGTCTTGGTCCTCTTGGTTCCAGAAGCTGTCTGAGGAGTGTATGTTTTTGGACCAGTCTAGCTCAGCCGCTGTGGACTGTAGAATGCACTCATTAAATGGAGCTAACTCACAAGTGTTTTCACATTTTACCAGCGGCCATTTTGAAACTACCAATCGACTGCGAATATGATGTCACATTAGTTTGAACAGTGGAGATTACTTTTAATTTACTCTTACTCACAAAAGTAATCCGATGACATTAACCACAAGACACTTCACCCACTTTGAAGAAACCAGGCGCACAGACGTAAAAAAGCCCTCAGGGCGCAAAACCAAGAACGCCCCAGGACATGGAAGCACGTTTTACCCATGGATTGATATAGTCTGGATAGAGTATTCTTAGTTTATAGCTGTAAGCTAGCTGATGGGACAGCAGGGGGCGCTGTGGTACTGCAGACAAAATTCACGTTACCCAGAACAAAGTCCCATAGAACTCAGGGTAAACTAAAACAGACCTCAGCTGACACACACACACCCACTGACACGACACACACCCACTGACACGACACACACCCACTGACACGACATACACCCACTGACACGACACACACCCACTGACACGACACGCACCCACTGACACGACACGCACCCACTGACACGACACGCACCCACTGACACGACACACACCCACTGACACGACACACACCCACTGACACGACACACACCCACTGACACGACACACACCCACTGACACGACACACACCCACTGACACGACACACACCCACTGACACGACACACACCCACTGACACGACACGCACCCACTGACACGACACACACCCACTGACACGACACACACACCCACTGACACGACACACACCCACTGACACGACACACACCCACTGACACGACACACACCCACTGACACGACACACCCACTGACACGACACACCCACTGACACGACACACACCCACTGACACGACACACACCCACTGACACGACACACACCCACTGACACGACACACACCCACTGACACGACACACACCCACTGACACGACACACACCCACTGACACGACACACACCCACTGACACGACACACACTGACGGACGACACACACCCACTGACACGACACACACCCACTGACACGACACACACTGACGGACGACACAAACTGACACACACCCTGCAGAGTCAATGAAGAGCCCAGGACCAAATTCAAATGTAGTACCACCAAAAAGGTCGCGAGGGCGCCACACAGACGTTTCTAATTTGCACTAAAATGTCTAAAAAATGCCAGGATCTGTAGCGAGCACTATAATAAAACATGCAATTTATGAGTTATGAAAGCTGATTCGGCGTTTAGTCGCTCTTTAACTATCAAACTCTACGCTAAAGAATCTGAGCGGAATTTTCCGGAACTATGTCATAAAGGTGCACTTTATTAATCCTCTGCATTTGACCCTGATGCCGGTAAGGCCGTCTGTAGCAGTGGTCGCCATAGTAACAGCGCACAGGAACCCATCTCCAGATGTTTTTAGCAGTGACGTGTGGTCAGATGAGGCAGGTGAGGCCTGGCCTCCCCTACGATCATGGGATTCATGTAACTTTGCCTTATTTCATTCATTTTTACCTTGAAATCGCAGATGTTCGTCATATTTTCTCATTTGACAGAGCGGTGCGCTGGGAGCATAGAGTATGTATTAACGGACAGAGTCACGCCCATCTCCGCCGTTCTAACTAATGGGCCAAAAATTGTGCTCTACTGGAGCAATCCAAAATGGCCGCGAGTGGTCCCGCCCACAAGAAAATTGTGAAAAAACGCATCTGCGCATGCGTCAGTCGGAGCAGCTCCATTCATTTGAACGAGAGACTTCAAAAATTCACAGCGACTAAACTAGAGTGGTCCAAACACCCCCTCAGCAGTGACACACATGTGGAACGGAGCTTTGGGCCAAGAGACAACTTTTGGTCCATCCTGTAAAGACGTTTTTGAGAGACCCGGGGAGAACATGCAAACTCCACTCAGAAAGGCCCTATTCCGACCGGGATTCGAACCCAGGACCTTCTTGCAGAGAAGCAAAAGTGCTAACTACTCAGCCACCGTACCGCCTGCTCACATTAGACATAACATATCTGAACGAGTTTATCAATCCGTTTCTTGTGCTAAGAAGTTTAGGGGTTTAGCTAGCCCATCTTAGTGCTCACCCCTGTAACGGACTAGAGCCCCTGCTCCGGACCCGCACTCACCCACAGTCTTCATCAGGAACAGTCCGCAGCGACACCCTTGGGTGGCGTCCTCCGCCGCACTGACGCTCATCACGGCTTCTATCACGAGCACGAGCAGCAGCCGCGCGAGCGCAAACAGACGGTGGAAGAGCGCCACGCTCATCCACCGGTACCGCTTCAGGATCAGGCCCAGTACGAGCTCGGACCCAAACAGTCTCCCTCCCGCACCGAAGCCCGCCATCTCCGCGTCAAGCCTCTGCCGCAAACTCTAACCCTGACTGACTGAATTTGGTGAACACGTGTTTCTCCTGCAGCAGACCGACACACACATCAGAGACACACATCAGAGACACACATCAGAGACAGGAGTGACACACACAGGTGATAACACTCTGCTCATCAAGTGCACCTGCACACACACACACCTGCGCGCACACACACCTGCGCGCACACACACCTACACACACACACACCTGCGCGCACACACACCTACACACACACACACCTGAGCGCACACACACCTGCGCGCACACACACCTACACACACACACCTGCGCGCACACCTGCGAGTACACACACTCACCTGCGAGTACACACACTCACCTGCAGGTACATACACACACTCACCTGCAGGTACATACACTCACCTGCGAGTACACACACTCACCTGCGAGTACACACACTCACCTGCAGGTACATACACACACTCACCTGCGAGTACACACACTCACCTGCAGGTACATACACTCACCTGCGAGTACACACACTCACCTGCGAGTACACACACTCACCTGCGAGTACATACACTCACCTGCGAGTACACACACTCACCTGCGAGTACACACACTCACCTGCAGGTACATACAACACACTCACCCGCGAGTACACACACTCACCTGCGAGTACACACACTCACCTGCGAGTACACACACTCACCTGCGAGTACACACACTCACCTGCGAGTACACACACTCACCTGCAGGTACATACACACACTCACCCGCGAGTACACACACTCACCTGCGAGTACACACACTCACCTGCGAGTACACACACTCACCTGCAGGTACATACACACACTCACCTGCGAGTACACACACTCACCTGCAGGTACATACATACACTCACCTGCGAGTACACACACTCACCTGCGAGTACACACACTCACCTGCAGGTACATACATACACTCACCTGCGAGTACACACACTCACCTGCGAGTACATACACACACTCATCACCTGCAGGTACATACACACACTCACCTGCGAGTACACACACTCACTCACCTGCGAGTACACACACTCACCTGCGAGTACACACACTCACCTGCAGGTACATACATACACTCACCTGCGAGTACACACACTCACCTGCGAGTACACACACTCACCTGCAGGTACATACACACACTCACCTGTGAGTACACACACTCACCTGCAGGTACATACACACACTCACCTGCGAGTACACACACTCACCTGCGAGTACACACACTCACCTGCAGGTACATACACACACTCACCTGCAGGTACACACACTCACCTGCGAGTACACACACTCACCTGCGAGTACACACACTCACCTGTGCACGCGCGCTCACATGTAAAGTGTATAGAAGTTAAAGAACAGAAAGTCGTGTTTAGCAATAAAAGAATGTCTCTCTGGTCTATCTCTGGTCTCTCTCTGGTCTATCTCTGGTCTATCTCTGGTCTCTCTCTGGTCTCTCTCTCTGGTCTCTCTCTCTGGTCTCTCTCTCTGGTCTCTCTCTGGTCTCTCTCTCTGGTCTCTCTCTGGTCTCTCTCTGGTCTCTCTCTGGTCTCTCTCTGGTCTCTCTCTCTGGTCTCTCTCTCTGGTCTCTCTCTCTGGTCTCTCTCTGGTCTCTCTCTCTGGTCTCTCTCTGGTCTCTCTCTCTGGTCCTCTCTCTGGTCTCTCTCTCTGGTCTCTCTCTCTCTGGTCTCTCTCTCTGGTCTCTCTCTGGTCTCTCTCTGGTCTCTCTCTGGTCTCTCTCTGGTCTATCTCTGGTCTATCTCTGGTCTATCTCTGGTCTCTCTCTGGTCTCTCTCTCTGGTCTCTCTCTGGTCTCTCTCTCTGGTCTCTCTCTGGTCTCTCTCTCTGGTCTCTCTCTGGTCTCTCTCTGGTCTCTCTCTCTGGTCTCCTCCATGATAAAAAGCCTACAAAGGTCCAAACAACACGCTGATCTTTCCCACGAAGCTGTAACAGTGAAAAGGTCTTGTGTCTTTCCGTTCTGTGATGTCACACACTGAGAGACATAAACACTGCAAGACAGGGGCCTCGGTTACATGGTCCCCATGGGTGCTCTTCTGATCCCTGCTCCATCTGGTATACGAGCTCCTGCTGGTCCGAGGCTCAGGGTCCCGCTCCTCTGCAGGAAGTGCTTTATGGGTTTATATAAATGAGAGGTGGGCTGTCCGCTTCTAATCCTGCAGCAGAGACTGAGGGATTAGAGACCAGTGGGAGACCAGAGAGAGACCAGAGACAGACCAGAGAGAGACCTGAGGGAGACCAGAGACAGACCAGAGAGAGACCTGAGGGAGACCAGAGACAGACCAGAGAGAGACCTGAGGGAGAGCAGAGAGAGAAACCAGAGAGAGACCAGAGAGAGACCAGAGAGAGACCTGAGGGAGAGCAGAGAGAGAGACCAGAGAGAGACCAGAGACAGACCAGAGGGAGACGAGAGAGAGACGAGAGAGAGCAAAGGGAGAGCAGAGAGAGACCAGGGAGAGACCAGAGAGACCAAGTTTAGACCAGAAACCCAGGTGAGGGGGGGAGAGAGGGTAATGGTAATGACAGCAGACTGAAAGTGCACTATTGTACTTCTGAAGAGGTTTAATTGACCAAGAACCTCTCTCTGGTCTCTCTCTGGTCTCTCTCTGGTCTCTTTCTCTCTGGTCTCTCTCTGGTCTCTCTCTGGTCTTTCTCTGGTCTTTCTCTGGTCTCTCTCTGGTCTCTCTCTCTGGTCTCTCTCTCTGGTCTCTCTCTCTGGTCTCTCTCTGGTCTCTCTCTGGTCTCTCTCTGGTCTCTCTCTGGTCTCTCTCTGGTCTCTCTCTGGTCTCTCTCTGGTCTCTCTCTGGTCTCTCTCTGGTCTCTCTCTGGTCTCTCTCTGGTCTCTCTCTGGTCTCTCTCTGGTCTCTGTGTGGGTTTGATGGTGAGTTGTTGTGACAGTCCTCACTGCTCGTTAAGACTGTACTGTTCTTCAGCTCATTTACACCTGTCACAGAGAGACCATGTGTGAACCAGGACTAGACCAGGACTGGAGCAGGACTGGACAAGGATTGGAGGAGGACTGGACAAGGATTGGAGGAGGACTGGAGCTGGACTGGAGCTGGACTGGAGGAGGACTGGAGCTGGACTGGAGCTGGACTGGAGCTGGACTGGAGCTGGACTGGAGCTGGACTGGAGCTGGACTGGAGCTGGACTGGAGCTGGACTGGAGCAGGACTGGAGCTGGACTGGAGCAGGACTGGAGCAGGACTGGAGCAGGACTGGAGCAGGACTGGAGCTGGACTGGACTAGGACTAGAGCAGGACTGGAGCAGGACTGGAGCAGGACTGGAGCTGGACTGGAGCTGGACTGGAGCTGGACTGGACTAAGACTGGAGCAGGACTGGAGCAGGACTGGAGCAGGACTGGATTAGGACTGGAGCTGGACTGGACTAGTGAATAGAACAGTTGTAATGTCCATCACAGGGAGGGACAGGTCCAGGGAAGTCTGTCCTGGACACAGGAGAGCAGCAGTTCCAGTTGTCTTTCCTTGTGTGTCTGAGAGACACACACACACACACACGTATAGATATTTATATCCATACATGTGTGTGTCTGACACACACACACACACACACGTATAGATATTTATATCCATACATGTGTGTGTCTGAGACACACACACACACGTATAGATATTTATATCCATGCATGTGTGTGTCTGAGACACACACACACACGTATAGATATTTATATCCATGCATGTGTGTGTCTGAGACACACACACACACACACACACGTATAGATATTTATATCCATACATGTGTGTGTCTGAGACACGCACACACACACACGTATAGATATTTATATCCATTGTTGTATATTTTAACTATGCAGATGTGAATATTGGCTGACCCTGATTTGAACTGTCTTTTCCTAAAGCAAAAAGACCTGGTTTCCCCATGTTCCTTTGTTAGTCCAAAGTGCATGGGTGAGTTAATGATAGGTAATCTGGGGGGGGATTCTCCTAATTCTGAAGAAGGAGGGGGACCCAGAGAGCCTTCTGCCTTATCTCAAAGAAGTAATAAATTTGGGGAGTGGTAGTGTGTGTGAATGATTCTGTTTAAGGTACGGCAGACAGAGGGGACATGATGGAAGAGGCTGGGCCCAAGTCCTGCCTGATACGACACGCCCCCTGCTCCCTGAACATCGACTGAATGCTCTGGCTTGGGAAGAGTCAGAAGGATCAACCGAGGGCCAGAGAAAGGGACATATTAGTTTTAGGAGCACTTTTTGTTGAATATTCTGTATCTGATTGTAAAGATAATTAAATGCAGATGTTAAACGTGGAGATCTCTTGTCTCGCTCTTGCATCGACTTTGGACACGTCAGTCAAAGGGAATTATTGACTTCACCATACATGTGTGTGTCTGAGACACGCACACACACACACGTATAGATATTTATATCCATATCCGTGCGCTGCAACATCAACATTTCCTTGAGAGACCAATAAAGGTTTTTATCTGATCATAAATGTGAGCAGAAGATGAGGATGGAGACACACACTAACACACACACACACAGACTCACACACAGAGACACACACACAGACAGACACACATAGACTTGCACAGACAGACACACACAGAGACACACAGACTTAGACCAATTGTCTTTTACGACGCTGCAGAAGCCTTTGTCTCATGAGAACCATATGAAGACCATAAAGATGAAGAGTGGAGCTAACTCTGACCCCTCCTCCTGGTCCGAGCCTCCTGGTCTGAGCCTCCTGGTCCGAGCCTCCTGGTCCGAGCCTCCTGGTCCGAGCCTCCTGGTCCGGGCCTCCTGGTCCGAGCCTCCTGGTCCGAGCCTCCTGGTCCGAGCCTCCTGGTCCGAGCCTCCTGGTCGGAGCCTCCTGGTCCGAGCCTCCTGGTCCGAGCCTCCTGGTCTGAGCCTCCTGGTCCGAGCCTCCTGGTCGGAGCCTCCTGGTCCGAGCCTCCTGGTCGGAGCCTCCTGG